TGGACGCCGGGCCTCGCGCGCGCATGCGGGGCCCCTGCAGACCGGCCTGAGCGCGTCCTGGGGCGAGCCCGGAGGCTTGCACGTGGCGGGCGGCGGCAGCACCAGCAGCTTTCTGAGCTCGCCTTCCGAGTCCTCGGGCTACGTCACGCTGCACTCGGACTCACTGGGCTCTGCGTCCTAGGGCCTTCCCGGGCCTCTCCAGAAACACCATGCAGATAGGAGAGGTGCGGCACCAAAGATGCCACAGCGTGGCGTATGTTAGGCGCGCAGACAAGTGCCGCCCACCCTGGGAGTGATTGGATGGTGGTCTCTGCGTCCCTCTTGTGGTTCCTTCCTTCTGATATCGCCAGGAGGGATGATGGCCACCCTTGATGGCTGCATAGGACACAGATCTGCTGCTGAGCACAGCACCTCCCAGGAATGGACAGACTGTGCCTTTGAAGTGAGTGGCATCTGCACATTTGGTACACCTTCCCCAGCCTTCTGAGGCTAGACTGGGGAATATAGGGGACCCTGAGGCCTGTCCACCATGAGAAAGGACAGTCTCTTCTCGGAGAAACTTAAGCCAGAAGCTATAGGACCACATTCATCTTTACTGGCACTGCCTCCCCTCAAGGGTATGGCCTGTAGAGCTTCTGTAAGCACAGGGGTCTTCAGATCCCAAACGAGTTCTACTGAGCAGGCTTCCCTGTGACCTGCCTCAGTTTCCCTTCTCTGATGAGTGGATGACCATGATACATCTCTCAGGGCTGTTTGAAGAATAATCCCGGTCTATGTGCCCTCGTACTTGAATGGACCAGATGCGAGAGGTAGTCTAGGGCCCTTTGTGAGGGTTAGCCTTCAGCACGTGACCCCCGATCTGAGGCCTCCCCGTCTCAATGACCCTTGCCCTCTTGGAAACTCACCTTAGCTAAAGCACAACACCATGGGTGCAACAGCCACCTTGGCCCCCACTAGTGTCCCCGTGCTCAAGACTCCACCGTATTGCCTGTCTCCCACTATGTCGGCCACTTCTGTATCCTGCTGTGAAGGCTGTGGGTACCTGGTGCAGAGAGCTGAAGCAATGGAAGTGGGCATCCCTGTCTTGGTGCCCATCTCCAGCTTCGCCTCCCACCCACACAGGCAAAGGCCCCACAAAGGGTGTCCTCTACCCCTCCTCCGCCACAAAGAAGGGCTTTGCTCTCCTGGATAGACCTCCCTCCGGGCTGTGCCAGGGACGTAGGTCTTCCCAGGAAACACCCAGGCTGTGAGCTGGGGATGGGGCAGCACCACCATGTCAGGCAGAGTCTCTGTGCTGGGACCTGGAATTGGTCTTACGGCCAGCACAGAGCAGCCTATGCCCCCTTTTCACTGCCCAATGGCCAGGCCCATCTCCTCTCCCTCTCCAGGCAGAGTTCCCACTCCAGCTGGGGATAGGGGTGGGTGACTGTCCTATCCTAGGCCTCAGAGGTCCCTGTAGTCCCTGGGTATGGGGTCAGCGAAAGATAAGCCACCCCAAATGAGCAAAGCAGGGGACTGCTGTCTATCCATCTCTGGACGTGAGAGAAGCTTCCTCTGGCCCATTTGCTGCTGTGCCTTTAGGGACTGATGTCATGTGGGTGGGGGCAGGGGTCATCAGCTAGCCACTGTCTGCCTCACCGGCCTCAAATCGTCAATTTATCACCTTCGGTTTTCACTCTGTTTTGTATTCAATGGCAATACTTGTAATGGGGACGTGGTCCCCCCATGTCTCTTCTACTTTTTACAAAACTTTAAGGGCAAACCCCAAGCAGAACACCCTAGGCACTAGGACTCTTCTCCAGTCCTTGTTCAGCCTCCCTGTTTGCTGACGCCTGTAAGGACCTCGGCCACGGGTTACCGGTAAGAACGCTAACTGTATACCACCGCCCAGCCCCGAGTCAGGGATTCCTTTGTAGATTTTTGAAAAACAGCTTTTCTCTTCTGTACAGGACCCAATAAAAAATGTCCTCATGGTTTGCACACAGCCTGCTGAGGCTGGTTCACGGAAACCTTTACAGCCCTAACCAGCTACTCCCCAAACCTCTCTCCGTTTAGATCCTGACATCTAGACCCTTGGACTTGCCATTTGTCCAAGCCAGGTGCTGCAGTCCTGGCCAGTGAGACAGACCTGGGCCCATAACTGTAGGAAGCAGTGGGTGGGCCCAAAGCCCACCAGTCAGAGAAAGGCCCTCTGACACGGTTGGCAACCTGGCATCTGTGCGTGGGGCCAGGCTTTGGTCGCCACTGTGAGGTTGTCTCAGTACCTCTAGGACTGGCTTGGAGACCTGGCTCTCATGGTGGAATTCGCCCACCATTCCTTCTGGTCCTCGCTGAGATGCCGCCACCTAGCGGTAGAGGAGAGAAAAGTCTTGGCTTTTCTCCCACCAGCTTGACTGACCAGAGACCACCTTGAGATGGCCAGGGCTGGGCTCTATACTAGTCCTTGCTCCAGAAAGCCCGCGGTGTGGGGATGGGTTAGTGTGGGAGAGCCAAATCGCGGAGAATCCTGAGTAGACCAGAACGTGTTTATCGGCAGGGCAAGAGCCGCCCCAAACTTGATATTACGTGGTACACTCACGTCTCAGCCTCTGTACAAACAATCTTTATTCAGAATTGCACGTTGGTACTAGGAGGTGCTGGGCCCCAGGCTGGCCCACGACAGAAGCCTGGAAGCGAAAAGCTCTCCTCTTTAGTCGCAGCACATGGTAACAGGTCCAAGACCCTAGGGCTCAGAAGGCGCTATATGGTCCCAGGCACCTGTCTTTTCAGAACACAAAATGCGCAGCTCTCAGAAGTGCCGAGATTTGCACGGGCGGTGCCACACACCGATGGGTGGGACCTGGGATTGTGGCAAAGCAGCGACATTGGAGCACTCAATACGCCTTAGGGGCGGAGTCCGTGCTCCGAGCCAGCACCCTGCAGCAGTGGGTCTCAGCGAAGGGAGGGTCTTGGAGAGCGCGCCCACAGGGTGGGCCCCGTGTAGAGGCGGAGGAGAGTGCGATGGTAGTGAGAAGGTCTTGGGTGGGGGTAGGATGGGATGGGAGCCTCTCGCTGGAGGGGCGGGGCTCTGCGCGCTTTGTGCCCGTGGGAATCGAGCGCCCGAGGCCGGTTGAATGGACCAGGGCGGGGCAGCGATTCTCCTCGCTGTGAGGGGTCCGCTCTGCGCCGCTGGCGACCGCGACCTTCCCACCGTGACGCAGTCGTGGAGAGGAGGGGTCAGGGGCGGAATACCAGCCCCGGGTCCCTGGGAAAGGGGCACATTCCACACGTCCCCTCCTAGCTCCACTAGAGGTGGGAGAAGGGAGCTGATCTGGCTGGTGGGTGGGACCAGAGTGGGTGAATTCACGTAGACCCCATCCGCAAGTGGCTGCGTGGATTTTTCCACAGCCCCACCAGGCCACCGATTGAAAGAGTTCCTGCATAGGTCCATAGGGGAGCCTCAAATAGTTTCTGTGTCCCCAGACTAGACAACGGGTGATGGGGCGGGGGAAGGGTCTTGAGTCTGAATCCTTGCCTGGGACTCACCAAGGACGCCACACCCCAAGCCCGGGTCTCGGGTTCTCGGTCTGGCAGTTTGACGCTGGTTGTGGTGCGGGAACGTCTGTAGAAGATTCGGGGAGACCTCTAGGGAAAGGGAACGGGGACAGCGGGGACTGGGAGTCACCTGCAGCGGAAGCAGGGGCCCAGATGGCCGGGAAGCAGGGCCTGAGAACAGAGACCGCCTGCGGGCTGGTGCTGTCCATGGTACTGCCTGTCCTGCGCTCGAGCACCAGGGGGCAGCGCAGGCCGCTGCCATCCTCTCCGCGTCGAAGCCGCTGGCTCACGCCGGGCAAGCAGCCTTGGAAGCCAGACGGCTGGTCGATCCCACTGAGTACTGGCCAAAGTCCTGAAGAAAGGAAGGAAGGAGAGGAGGGAACAGAAGAGGCGTGGAGGACAAAAGGAAGGGGAGATGCATAAGGACATCAAGGAAGTAGATGGTCTCCTGGGTGGGGCAGACCTATGCTCACACTCAGGCTGCGAGGCAGGCCAGGCAGGCCTTAGCTGCCCTTCCCCACATCCACCCCAGCTAGGTGGTGGACCCTGCTCACCTAGCTGTTCACCAGCTTTCTCCTCCACCCTAGGCTATCACTTTGTAGCTCAGACTGCTCTCCAGCTCTCCATCCTCCTGCCTCAGCTTCCCAAGTGCTGGGTTTACTGGCAAACGATGCCACGCCTAGCCCCAAGACCCCATGGCTAGATCTCACATGTCCCTCCCAGTGTCTCATTGTAGATCTTTGAGCCCTTACTTCGCTACCTTGCAATGAATTCTGAAGGCTTTTCATGTACTTGACACTCAGCTCCAGGATGTCAGCCTTTTCCAACTTCCGTTTCCGTATCTGCCAAATCGCGAGATGCTCTCTTAACGGGCAGACTGGGGAAGGTTGGACCAGTCGCTCCCCTCCTCTCCTGCCTTACCTGATGTGAGTAGTGTCTCTCCAGAAGAGACTTGAGCTGCTCCAGGCACATGTTGATGCGTGCACGGCGCTTCTTCTCCATCAGAGGCTTGGAGATCTGTGGGCCAGCCGGTAGTCTTCAGAGGGAGAGCCCTAGCTTTCCAGGCCTCCATTCCCTCCACCCCAGAGGTTCCCACCCCAGGGGTCCTCATCCCATACCCTTCAGGACCCCAGACCTTTCGGAAGCTGCTGGCTGAGCCACTGGGGCTGCCCCTCGACGTGGGCTGGGTGCCCATTTTGTGATGTCTGAGCAGATAGTCGGCTGTGGTGCCTTTATAGGGGTTCCTCGTTTACATGTCAATGAGGCTCTAGGAACTGGAAAAGCCCAGAGGGGGAGGGGAGGGGACAGAAAAGGGATGCGGTGCGGGAGAGCTGTCCCGGTGTCCCTCTATGGGGCTCCTTCCAATGGCCCAGGCTGCCTCTGGCTTTCAAAATGCTTCCTGTTTCCCTGAGGACTCCCCCCCACCTTTTTAAAATTTCTTCCTTGACCCACCACTACTCTGAGTATGAAGACTTTTCCCAAACCCATCCTCTCCAGGCATTGTTGAGCCAGCTACTGTAGGTGCTGAACCTCACCTCTGTCTCTATTTGCCGAGTCCTGGCTGCTTCTTATCTCCCAGCATTCTTCTGGTGGCCCTCCAATGTCACAGGGAGCTTTGTGGGCTGCATGCTACCCCAAATGATGACGATGGCGCCCTAGGTGTCCTGAGGCCTGATGAAGACAGCCAGGAGTGCTGGCCTTTCACGCTCTGGCCACGCTGAGATGCTAAATTAGTCGCTGTAATGTCCGGACAATGTAGCAATTTTCTGCCTGTGGCTGCTCAAAGCCAGTCGCAAGCGGGGCCTGTGGGGGCCATGAGGCAACATGTGTCCCATTAAAGCATGCAGCCCGCCCGCAGGGCCACAACAGGCCTCCTCCATCCAAGGACCCAGCGCCTGGAGTATTGACTGATAGGACCCAATGTAGAGACTTGCAGCTAGAAGGCAGACCACCCCAGCCCCAGCCCTGGGCTTCCAGGCTCGTGACACTGGTGAAGGACAAGTCTTTAAGAGGAAAAGCAACTGAACTGTGTGTGATAGGTTGCACCTTTAATCCCAGCATTCAGGGGGCAGAGGCAGACAGATCTCTGAGTTCGAGGCCAGCCTGGTCTATAGAGAGGATTTCAGGACAGACAGTGCTACACAGGGAAATCTGAGGAGTGGGGCGGGGGCAGGAGGGAGAGAACAGCTGGGGTTCAGTTCCTGTGGACCTTCTCTTAAGTTCAGTGAGTGGGGAGGCGGAGGTGGGGACCACTGATGCTCCGAGGAGAGTCCAGACTGCATCGTGTGTACCTGTCCGCCTGTCCATTTTCCATGTTGTGAGGACACAGGAGGCCCTGCCACCACCTACTATATGTATAGGACAGGGCAGCAGTCGCTCACTCCACTCCCATTGTATCGGGGAAGTCGGAATCACAGCTGCGACTGACAAGGCTGACCTCCAGGGAAATTCTTGGGTTCAAATCTAGATAATGCCTTTTCTTGCACTCTCCGAGTCAAGAAGTTTGGGGGCCAGAAGACTGAAGTGGCATTCCTGACAATGCCTGTGAGGCCAAAGAAGGCGCGCAAGTCCTACAGCTTTCTCTATAGTCACGGAATGAAAACAATGACCTCTGTAGGGGCTCACGAGGATATTGCTGGGTCAAGACGCGCCCCCAAACCGGGCATCTTTCTGACCCCTTCACTTTCCCACCCCCATCCCACTCTGGGCATTGACGAGCCTTGTCGGTGCTCTCCCAAGCGCCAAGCAGCGTGGAGAATCGAGACCCGCCCTCCCCCTTTCAGGCCTGGGCAAAGGCGACCAGAACTCTGGAACCTTCTCCTGCCCCCACCGCAGGGCGGGTGGACCAGGTCCGGCTGGGTTTGTACCCTGGGCTGGTGACGGGGCTGAAGCCCAGTGACGAGCGCTGCCACGCGCCGGGTAACTTTAAAGCGCCAGGGCCAGCCAGGTCGGGACGGCCTCCGTGCGCCTAGCTACGGCTTTGGGGAGGTGGCGGCGAGGTACAAAGGCGCCGCGGGGCAGGCGGGCGGGAGGCTCGGCACAAAGGGAGCAGCCGAGTGTTAAGGGCATTGTGCGGGTTGCACAAAGCGGCGCCCGCGCCCGCGTCCGCCTTCTCGGGGCCAAACTCCCGGCTCCCCGCGGCGCTCGGGCTTCCAGCTGCCGCACATCTGTAGGGAGGCCGGGCGCGCGCCTCACCTCGACGGGTTCCCTCCACCCTCCTCGCTCTCGAGCCAAGCGAGAAGCAAAGCAATTTGTCTTGTAATTACAATACTTCCCCATAAACTGCTGCCCGCGCCTTTCAGTCCGGTGCATTAGCAAACCAATGGTTCTAAGCACAGCATTCCCGGGGCGCTGCGGGGCGCGGGGCACTGGTCCCGCCCCCTCTCCAGAATTAGGGTCACTCTAAAGTTCTCCTCTCTCGCTCCCGCCCGCACCTCAGTACCCTCCACTGTCTGGGCCATTACCCCTCCCAAGCCTACACCCAGGGATGCCCGCCGCACTCCGTGGGGCCGTTCATGTGGGTGGCTAAGTGTTTCTTAGGTAGTGGAAAATTGACCACAAAATGTACTAATCTGCAATGTTCTGCTTTGGCTGGGGGAAGTGAGGCCCGTCAAGGGGCCAGGACCGGATTCTCAGCGGTTGCACTCTGCTAGGATCTGTTTAACAGGCCTGTTGCTTGACTGCATCCTGCCTCCCACCGCCCCTTTCCCGTGGGCTGGTCCTTGGGCATGGGTCTCTCTACCTGTGAGGATGGAATTCCCAGCTTTTTCCTTCCTCTAAGACTACAACTCCCCGCCCCCATGCCTGCTCCTTGGCTGAGGGTCGTGCAAGCTCACACCCATCCAGCTCGCCCTCCCCTGTCCCGCCCGCCTGCCCCCAGCTCTGAAACCATCTTCTTCCTTCCACTGCAGTAGCTTCCATTTCGGCTTCCTCCTCTAGGAAGCCTCCTCTCCTGCTAAGTTAGAGCCAGACCTTTGCATCCAGCAAGGTCGTTGGAAAAGGTAAAGAGATGCAGGCCGAGGATGGCTGTTCCATCTATTCACGAGGGACTTCTTACCTCCACCCGCAGGCAGACCCACCAGGGAGAGCGCAAAGCTTTCCCAGAGGTGAGGAGAGACAGCTGCTCACCATACTCTCTATGAGCAAGCTGGGCACGGTACACTGTCTTTTGGACTGCTGAGAAGGTCATGGACCAACTTAGAAACCCTGCTTATGCAAACCAGGATGTAGGCCACCAACTCCCTTTCTGTCTTTAGCACTCAGAGTCCCAAAGGTACCTGGAAAGAAGTACAGGCCCAGGAGGAGCAAGGGGAAAAACCCAGGCCCCTTTCAAGGAACAATTTTCAAGGAAAAATGTTCGTTCTCTCTCGGCCCACCCTCGCTCCCACCCCTTTCTCACACTGAGGAATTTAAGTCTGAAAATGACCCAGTGTCTTTGTGCCTTTCCAATTTGCTTTCTTGGCTTTGGAAAACACACACACACACACACACACACACACACACACACACACACACGTCTGGAAACAAAGCAGGAAAGGGATTTGGAGCCCCCAAACAAGAGCCCTCTCAGATGCCCCGCCTCCCAGCTCGGACACCAGCCCTAGTGTCCTCCCGAGTGGTGAGAACCCTTCCTTCCTGAACTTTCTGCTTTAATCAGTGCTCAAGGAGGAACCTGGCTTGCAGAGCGCTGTGGGTGCTGGTGGTAAGTGGAGGAAGAAGCCTGTTCCCCTCGCAGATGTGGGGCCAAGTGATTGCGGTGTGTAATTAACTATCAGGGACACAGCAAACGCCCTGAAAGGACTCAGTCGATTGTCTCCAGATGGGGTTGGAGAGGCTGCGATTGTTTAACTCTGTTTAGCTGTGTGGAGACTTTGAATTGCACAGCAGCCAAGGGCCCTTCAGGGGACAAAGGCTGGAACTTCAGTGAGTGCATCAACACCGACCAGGCCAGCCCAGCTCAGGAAGAGTGAATTCAGAGAGAACCTCTTTGTCCTGGCCTTTTGTGTCTCTCCGGAGTTGGCTCTAATCTTTAAATATTTACCCGGCCCCTTTGTGCACATATGACTTATGCGCCGTGGGCTGATGTACTCATAAATCACGCGTCATTTACCAGACTGGAAAGAGCCGCTTTCATTCCTCAGCCTGTGACTGCCAGAGAAGAGGAGAGAAAACTTTCTTTTGGAAGACTGACCATCTCTAGTGGAGTAGTGGAGACCCATAGCCTTGCTGGCCAGACTCCTCCCCACTGCCCTCTGGATAGGCCAGAAGCCTTGAATAGCCAGGAACTGCAGGGCGGGGTGGGGTGGGGGACAGAGGATAGCCCACTGCAGATGACTGATCTGGTATCCATCATTGAATGAAATAACATGTGCCGGCTTCCACCCTGGGAGTTTTCTGGTAGAATGAATAAAGGGCTTGTCAATGCTTGTCTCCTCCATGCACCTGTACCTGCCTTGGGCTTGGTCTCTTCTTCATCATCTCTCTCACTCAAAAAACTCATGCGGCTTCAGAACCTAAAGTCTGACGGCTGGAGAGGTGGCTCAGTGGTTAAGAATGTATATTGTTCTTGCAGAAGACAGCTCAGAACCACCTGTAACTCCAGCTCGAGGGGTTTCAACTCGCCTTTGGCTTCCACTGGCACCTACACTCACATGCACGCACATGCACGCGCACGTGCACACACACACAAACATACACATACATATTTAAAATAATAAAAACTGAATCTTTAAAAAGTCTAAAAACGATTTCATCACAGCTTGTGGTTTTATTTGGAGATGTTAAGTAGTGTTGGTAATCGCCTCAGGTCTTGAAGAACTGAGTCAAGTTGTACAGGGCAATAGTCCCTAACCACCAAGAATTGCTTGGCTCCAGCCCCACTCTGCTCCACTTGCAGAAACAATATGCCTGGGTACAGAAACAACCCACCCTGCTTCCAGTCAAACAAAAAATACCTGCAACTTCCTGTAGCTACCTACATATGTGTGCATGTGTACAGACATGTCTCCAGCCTCTCTAAGTGCATGCAGCTTTCACCCAGAGGAAACATTGGGGCTCCATGCTGTTGATAAAACAGTCTCAGCCTGTCCAGATCAAGTCTGTCCGCTTCTCTGCCTCAGTTTCCTTGGTGTCTAAACAAGACAGCTCTCCAGCGAGGCCCGGACAGGAAGACTGCTTTAGCCTGTAATGGCGGCAGCTAAGGATGGGGGAAGGCACGGGCTGTGGAGGGACCCTACTGCCCAAGAAGGAGCTCCTTCTGTGCTTGCCTGGAAGCTGCTAGGACAAAACACTCAAGCGCTTATTTTCAAGGAGAGGGAAGCAGTGTGTCCTGGGACTTCCCCTTTCCTTTTTACCATTCTGGAGATCTGTCACCTCCTGTGTTTGGAGGAGAGCCGGGGACACAGTGAGACTGTTTCGTCAGACTCCTTTCCTCTCTGCTAGGAAAACAAGCCTGTGTTTCCCTGTGTGCACATCTGGATGTAGCCCTCGCTGTGTGTGGCTGTTTCCCTGGGTCTGCACGTGCTCTTTGGTCATATCCCTGGATATACGCAAGCTCTCCATGTGACTGTTCATCCGGTTAACTGTACTCCTGTGTATAACTGTTTCCTTGGGTGTAGATACTTTGTGTGTAGCTATATGTCCGGGTGTGCGTGTGCTGTGCTGTGTGGCTGTTCCCCTGGGTATATACACTCTCTGGATGTGATTGCATCTCTGGCCATGGGTACTCTGAAACTGTTTCCTGAGCATGTACATCCTCTGTGCTACTGTTTCTCTGGTTACATACATGTCCAGATGTGCATAAACTTGCCTGGTTGCCTCTCCATCACTGCACTGAGTTTTAGGCCCCGACAGTTACAGCCATCCCAGCGATCCCCTTAAAACTTCACATTCCCTGGAGTGTAGTTCCACCCAGCAGACGACATCTTTTCCTTTCTCCCACCTCCAGGATAAGGCTGAAGAAGGAAGGACAGAGTTGCTCATGCTCTCTCTGGTCAGTTACACTTTACTGGTTGCCTAAGAGATCAAAAGCTCAGGGCCTGAGAAGGGGCTTCTGCCAGAGATGGTTTTGTGCCTCCAGGTCAGGAGCCCTCCCTGGAGTGAAGGGTAACAAGCACCCCCTAGTGGCTCTGCTGTGTCCTGGCTCAGGGGAGAGGTCCCGAGTCTGGAGAAGCCAGGAGGAACAGGCAGTAGTCAGAACTCTGGCTTTAAGCCTCTTGGCAGTGAAAACCAGATGTCTACCACTCAGCCACCCTTATGTCCTGCTTAGCCTTTAGTGTCAAATCGACACAGCCTAGTTATCAGAGAAGAAAATCCGGCTGAGGACTTGCCTGTATCAGACTGAGCATGTCTCTGTGTGTGTGTGTTGGGGGAGGGGAGACAACATTCCTCAGGCTGGTTGGTGGTACTCAGTAGCAAGCATTCTAATTGTTCTTAATAATAAAAATGTAGAGTCAGATATCAAGGGCTGAAAGCTGAAGGATCAGAGGAGCAGAGCGGCAGCCACTAGAGAGTTCTTATCTCTGCTGATGCTCAGACCAAAGGGTGATCCTGTCTCTACGAATCCTCAGACTGTATCTCCAGACTGCATCCTTAGACTGCTTGCTCTGACTGCCCTTCAAACTGATTGCTTCAGACCACTGCCTCAGACTGCAGTGAGCTCCTGTCTCCTCCCACCTTATATTCCTCTCTCTGCCCAGCCATATCACTCCTGTCTCCATCTCCCTAGTGTTGGGATTAAAGGCATGGGATCCCAAGTGCTGGGATCACCTTTGTATGAGCTGTTTCTCTTTTAGATTGGATCAGTTTCATGTAGCCCAGCATGGCCTTGAACTAACAGATATCCGTCTGTCTCTATCTCCCGAGTCCTAAGATTAAAGGTGTGTGCCACCACTGCCTGGCTTCCAGTGGCTTAGCTCTGCACTCTGATCTTCAGGCAAGCTTTATTTATTAAAATACAAACAAAATATCACTATAGTACTGGACAGTCTGAGAAAGTTTGCTAAGGATGAGCAGGTGAACCAGACTGAAAGCAGCGTTTCTCCGTGGTTCCTGCCCTCACTTCCATCAGCGAAGGCCTGTGACCTGGAATTAACTGTTAAGCCAAATGAACCCTCTCCTCCTCAAGTTCCTTCTGGTCAATGTTTCATCACAGTGGCGGAAAGGAGACTAGAAAGCCGTATTTGGTGTGGGTGTGGGAGCGCATGTTGCTGGGGTTTCACCATAACTGAACTATTAAATCTCTTTCTCCTTCCTGTCACCTCACTTTAACAAATGTCTCCCAAGCATGATTGGGACACAGTGCTGGGCTTTGTAGAGTATCCTGGCTCCGGTCACTCTGATCCTTCCAGATCACTGTCGCCCAATGAGGAAAGTCAGGGTAAGACCTCAAGCAGGTGCTCAGCAGAAGTCGTGGAGGATGCTGTTCTATAGCAGCCTGCTCTCGCCTATGCTTAACTTTCTTTCTTTTTTTTTTTAAATATATTTATTTATTTATTTAGTATACAATATTCTGTCTGTGTGTATGTCTGCAGACCAGAAGAGGGCACCAGACCTGATTACAGATGGTTGTGAGCCACCATGTGGTTGCTGGGAATTGAACTCAGGACCTTTGGAAGAGCAGGCAATGCTCTTAACCACTGAGCCATCTCTCCAGCCCCTATGCTTAACTTTCTTACACAGCTCAGGAACAGCTGCCAAGGGATGGTGGCACCCACAGTGGACTGGGCCCTCCTATATCAATTAATAATCAAGATGATACCTCATCAGCCTGCCCACAGACCGCCTGATGTATGCCATTCCTCAATCAAGGCTTGTCTTTTCAGGTGACTCTAGGTGGCGACAAGATGACATTAGGGTTCAACAGGACAACGGATGATTGTCCAAGACAGTGAAATAAGGATTCCGTTTCACAGGAAGACGAGGTTCACAGAAGTTACCTGCCTGTGGTCACCAAGACAGGATATAGAGTACTGGAGCCTGGGATACCAGGTTCCCCACTCCCATGCCCACACATCACAGTTCCTGCCAGGCTGTGTGTTCACATGCAGGGTTCACCACAGCAGCCTGGCCCCAGCTTCTCCTGGGGCCTCTGTCCCATCCTGCGGAAGCTTGCAGCTTCCTGCCTCTGCCTTTCCAGTCCAGCGTCAGCTCTTGGTTCCTTGATGATGCTCTCATTTCCAGGAGCTGGTAAGTTCTGCCAGCTCCTAAAGTCTTCCACGCACTCTTCCTATCCTGCAGGTCTCGCACCCTAGGGACTCTCTCCTGGACTCAAACCAAACAAACAAACCCCACACTCTATGGACTGGGGATATAACTCAGTCAGCCGACCGCTTGCCTATCATACAAAATGCCTTCAGTTCAGTCCCCAACCCAGACAGTGATGGCTTACACTTGTTAATTCCAGCCTTCTGGAGGGGAGAGGCCAGAGGAGCAGATCCAGGGCATCTTCCAGATACCAAGTGAGTTCAAGATTGTCCTGGGCTGCAGAGGATACACTGTCTCAAAAGCGAAACAAGGCCGGGTGGTGGGGCCCGTGCCTTTCATTCCAGTACTAGGGAAGCAGAGGCAGTTGGATCTCCGCGTGGTGGTGGATTCCAGACTGGTTGAACCCACCTCGTGTCGTGCCACATAAATACGTGCAAGTACTGTATACATTTAAAATAGCAAAAACTGAAGGAGAACTTCTGACTTTATCAGTAACATCTTCATTATAGGCAGTATGGAAAACACACACATACAAAACCTACAGGTCACTAAAAGTCATCCAGGATACTGCCACCTAAAGGAATTAGCCGATAGATCTCAACCGTTCTCCCAGGCTCACTCGCGTTACGCTTCTTCCCCAAAGCAAGCACCGCAAAGTTTGGCACGCTGCCTGCAAAAACCGTATTTATTTTCACTTAGGAGAGTGGTGTGGTCGGTGAAGCCGGGTTGTTTCTCGGGACCAAGGCTCTAAACTCGGGATGAACTTCTACTTCCGGGTTGGTCCGTCACCGCCCCTCTGTTAACGTCAGGTTGTCCCGGCGACGGCGGGGCGGGGCCAGCGGGGGCGTGTCGGCTTGCTTCAAATTCCGGCCCTCAGCCACGCGTGGCATCAATCCTCGCGAGAACTCGCAGGCGGCTAGTACCCAGCTCCGGGTACCTGCCCTTCCCGAGCCGGCGTCGGCAGCGGAGTGCGCAGGCGCGGCCTTCGGGTTTCCTCGGCTACAGTCGGCGCTTCGACCCGCTAGTCCGCCGCCGGCTCTTCCGCCGCCCTGCGCCATGGCGGGCTGCGCGGCGCGGG